AAACCCTCAGAGGGTTTGTCGTAAGTTTTTTCTATGCCAACAACAACAATAAACGATTGTGTTCCAATGCGTAACTTTGCAATGTTTACAGATACATATGTATGTATGCACATTAGGGTGGTCTTTAAAAATCAAATGAAAGACTTCAGTCTCACCTGCTCAATCGGTAATACCACGGTCATAGATATCACATATAAATGTTGGTCCTGATTGGAGATGGTTAACTTTAAAAATCCTGGTCAAGGCGTGTCGCACAAGGTCTAAAGTTCTGATTCCTCTATAGAGACTCAAAAAATTAAAATTCATTTTTTTTTTCATCTAATACCCAAAATCGATTCTACCATAGTCGAATATATCACATATAAATTTTGGTCCCGATTGGAGTCAGTTACGACGTCTTAATAGGGTAATCTGAACTTTGACACCTGTTCCCCACACCTAAAGTGAAATCTAATGTAAAAATTTGTTTCCCACATTTAAGGACCACCCTAATGTACATATGTACTTTTTCATTTACCTTCTTTCATCACCCAACGCTATAATCTGCCTATTTGCCCAGTTCATTGGCATGGCATGAACGCCCAGCAATACAATTAACAATTTTTAAACGTACAAATAATTAAAGTATTAAAGAAAAATAAAAAAAATTAGCAACCGGCAAAAATATAAAAATTCTCTCTCTTCCAGTATTTTATTTATGCTCTGTGATTTTGTTTTCCACTACAACCGGCTGTTTCTGTGGTGGCTTCGCTCCATTTGTCGTACCAGGTATAATAAGAAACACATGTTGCTTCGCTCTTAGCCGCTTGTGGTGGTTAGGCGCTTAAGGCCGGTCCACATAAAACTTTCGCGTTGGCTTTGGCGTTGGCGTTGGTTTGACAGAACGCACGTTAAAAGTATGCTTGCTACAATGAACGCTTGGCAGCGAATCCTTGGGCCACTAAATTAACATATTAACGACAGATAAATTAATATTTCATATCAATAATTGCATTAAAAATGATATTTCTTGCCCGCACTTGATTAAAAAGGAAAAATATTTCACATAATTTTATCTATTTGCAACAGCTGACGAGCGACGCACGCAAAAAGTTGAGAGTTGGCCATCTTTTTGCTTCGTGTTGGCGTGAGCGTTGTCGAATTTTGGCTATGTGGACAGCTGCATTTGAATTCATGTATTCATAGTCAGCTGTTGAAGCGACGCCAACGCCAACGCAACGCCAAAGTTCTATGTGGACGGGAGAGTGCTCTGCCAGGAAAATAAACTGAGCGCCACTGACGCCACTCTTCTGGCGGGAACATGAAAAATTATTGTGAAGAGCAAAAGTGTCTCTCAAGTAGTTACTATACATTATGTACATACGTACATGCGAAAAGATGTTTGTAAATACAGTATATGCCAATGAATTATGAATGGTAAAACATCTTACAATATTTTGGTTAATCAGTTGATAGTTTTCTACTTTGAATTTCAATGCGTTTTTTGCACAGAAATTCAATTCTGTGCAGCAGTTTTAAAACCTTTTCAACAATAGCCGGTTGACCCACTACAAAGATGCCTAAGTAGCAAAAAAGTTCATGAGACCCAAATGAAATGATCACCGACGCCAGGTCGATCCCGGGAATACCCGCATCAGTTGCAGATGAAGTGAGAAGAGTGCCGGAAGACTTGCAACTTCGCCTCTGGTGTGAGAAATCTTTCGTCAATTGTAAGGTCACTGTCCAATCCCCCGAAGCGCAATGACAGAGTGGAGGTTTCATTTGGTGATCGTGCTTCGTCGGACCCGGAGCGATGCGCAAGCTACTTTATTCGATGATTCACTATTCATGCCTCGGCAGACAAAACCAAGCGTTGAGAAGTAGATTATATCACCAAGGTCTTCAACATGGCAATGGTCACTCTTATCATTGACGACGCGTTGAATCAGGGAGCATTGAATTTATCCAAGGCTTTAGTAAAGGAGCACAACATAATTCTCAGCACTCCGACGTGAGCGACGAACTAAAGGAAGAGCTTCAAAAATACACAAGCACCAGTGGACCCGGCATTGTTTAGACGACAATAAACGCTTCAACGCCGAGAGAGACCTGCGTAACTCTGACTCTATTGTGGTCTAGGTATTGTAGTTGATTTAGGTGTACATATATGTTCAGACTGGACCCCGACATATTTGTTCAGATTGGTAACCGTTAGTTCACGACAAAAACTTAAGGACTATTCAATTCTAGGCAGGGCTAAATAGCTGTTTTGTTGCCCTAGAAGTAGTAGTAGTAGTACGAAATCAAAAAGTACTAAAAGCGCAGTTAGTCAACGACGTAGCGTAAACGTAGGTTGACGTACGTAGCAGCATATAAAATTTACTGTGGATAGAGGGAGAGACAAGCAACGGCAACGTCACCGCCATTCGGTGGTGAGTTTTCGTTAACACGCGAATCCCATAAGGTAGATCGTGTCTGCGTCAACCTACGTCTACGTTACGTCGTTGACTGTTTGCGCTTTAAGTCATTTTGGCAAGGCGAAAGAGCAACGATTAACTATTTTTTTTTTAATTAGACTCGCAACTTCAGTCATGATTTAGAATGCAAATTTAAACCAATACCTCCGGCGACTAAAAATTCGAGACTTAGATTAATATACATAAAAAGGACCTAACTTATTTTCGTTCAGAAAAATAGTTTCATGGGAAAACCAGCACAGGGCCGATTAATTTTTAATATTTCGAAGAGGAAAAGGCGATCAGTTCTGATATATTGTTTTAGGTCTTCATAAAAAGTAAAGCTATTAATTAATTAATCGTTCGTCCTGAATTTTCCCGAAAAAAAGTATAGAAGTAATGCAAACTTATTTCCAAGTCAATCGTGTGTATCCTAAATAGTGAGTTTATTAAAAAAGTTCTGGCCGAAGTGAGGCATTCACCGCTCCCGACGTACGCAAATTTGTGTAACAAATTCGTTATACGGGCCTGCTAGTTGACAACATTCACGGTCCTCGCCGTCGTACGGTGCGCACTGGCGGTAATGTNTTGTGTAACAAATTCGTTATACGGGCCTGCTAGTGGACAACATTCACGGTCCTCGCCGTCGTACGGTGCGCACTGGCGGTAATGTTGCCGTAGCCGATATTGGACGACCTTTGGTCTCAGCAGGATGGCGCGCCAGGCCACACAGTCCATGCCACAACCGATCAGTTTAACGCCGAATGCGGTAGTTGGCGCTTCTGGTGTTTTTAAATAAATGCCATTAAAAGTAGATACATATGTGACACTCTTAAGGTTAAGGACTATTAATAAGATTAAAACTAAACCTAAGACAACATTGAAAAATGAATAAAAAAAAACAAAAAAGTTGTTTCGAATAGCGATCGCCCCTCAGCTGGCAATGGCAAACCTCCGTGTATTTCTGCTATGAAAAACCAGCTTCTCATAAAAATACAATCCCCGTTCCGAGTCAGAGGGGAAGCTCGGCCAAAGAGTAACACATTTATGTGTGAGCGCTAATCTATTATTATTATTATTAAGTCGAATACAATTACGATGGCGGCGAAGAACACGAAAGTGGATACAGCGAAGGCGATCACGAACAGGAAGACAAACACGGAGACGAAGGAGAGAAAAAGAATGCTAAGGCGAATTATCCGGATATTCAACTTGCACAGTTTTTTTTTATCTAAAGTCCAATTTTTGAGGGTTATTTGAAAATTCTAAGTATGATTTTTTTCATCTTGACCTAAAACGAGTGTTGCATTCTAAGCATGCAAACAGACGATGGATAATACTTGGAGTTTATCCCCTGACCTAATGCAACAATAGTGAGGTCAATATTACTCTACGGTGTGATGCACCGCAACAGGAAAGAACAATGTATCTCACTATTGTGTACAACAGGAACACTGAAAACAACTCCAACGGCTGCACTAGAAAAAAATTCCCAATGTACTACCTATCTACATTGCTTCTAAGTCCGCGGGGAAACTGATTGCAACATGGGAGTTCAAGCAAAGAAACACTGGGCACAGCTCAATATCTTGCTATAACTGGGATAACGCTCGGGTTACTACAGAAGAAAACGGAATAGGCGTTTGCATATTTATTGGGTTCCGGGTCACAAGGGCATTACAGGTAACGAATTTGTAGATGAGACGGCCAAGGGCGGAATCCACTTGGATCTAGAACAAGAGAATAAAATTCCAAAATCTTCATAACGAAATGGATCAGAGGATAAAAAAGCAGGCTATATCGAGATGCAATGCGCTAAACACCTGTACAAACTCTAAAGTCATGCGTGCACAAATCCAGTTTAGATCATCGCTTGCAGGAACAAGGGAGACCCCAGAACACATCGTTTGCCTTTGTCATGCTGTATCAAAAACACGCTGAAATATCTTGGAGCTCTATAGTTTAATAATCTTGAAGACGTGACAACACTTGGCCTTTAATCACTACTGAAATTCTCATAAAGCGTTGACATCCTAAATGATGTGTACTTCGGCTATACTTAACTAAACCTCTATCTCCATCTGCCATCACTGAGGACCTATTGGTCTACATACTATATGGGGCGGTCAGCCAGCCAGAATAACCTAACCTAAAGAAACGAAAAGTATAATTTCACTGAAACAGTAGAATTTTCGCCATTTTTAACTACATACATACAATTAATTACTTTGGACTTCATTATCGTCGTCTTAGTTGCAATTTTTTCGTCGTTCTTATGTCGCTGGATATATACTGTGTATGCCTATTCAATAGGCTGGTGCAAATATCGACGAGGCTGAGATTTGCATACCTATGAAAGTAAGGCCTCGTGTGGCTGTACATGTGTATGGGTGTTCTTATACGTATGTATGGTATATGTGCTTGTAGTTCACAAATTCCAGTGCTTGTAACTTTTGCTCAAAAGAGCACAACAATCATTTGTTTGCTGGGTGCATTGGAATAGGCAAGCATATGACCCAAATCCACCTCAAATATTTCTTATAATATCAGTTGTATTCGAGTCGCGCGAGCGACCAGTCATCGGTTCGCGTTTGTGGTTAGTAGTCGGTTGTTAGTGCCTGTGGTGTAATAACTGGTTGTTGTTGTGCCGGTTTTTTTTTTGTTTGGGGTCTCGTGCGGTTCTACTTAGATTGGTTTAGGGAGCGGCGGTGACGTGCATATGCGCATTTATTCGCCATTGGTGCCACATACATATGTATGTACAAAAATAGCTCAGCAAAAAAAAAAACGCTTCCTTATACGAGTATGAACAAAGAATTATTTATACGCAAAATAATAGGGTGAATAATGAATCTTCAAATTTACTATAAAACAAGAATTGTTTGTTAAAGTTGCATATACATAGTTAATTTTTCAAGTGCTACTAATTCGCGCTCGTCTTACTTAATTAAACTCGTTGAATGAAACGAGTTCCTACTTTTTATTATTTTTATTTAAAGTTGTTTGTACATACAAATTAAAAAAAAGCGACCATCGCATTTCGCTTTCTTGACATTTTTGATTACGCAACGAGTGACGTTAACATTGGGACAAAATAGAGAGAGTGTTGCGAATTCGTTCCACTGCCAAAGGAATGGTTAGATATGTACACGCAATAAAACAGCTGTTGCAGTGCGGTATTGTGGCATTTTCGCAGAATATTTTCTATAGATAAACACAACTTTTGTCTTGTCGGTTGGTTTAAGTGTAATGCCACAGGTGTTTTATCCGGCTTGCAAATACGCGACTACTCAGAACATTAAAGAAATTAACAATCGCACCTGAACTGCTACTTACTACAAGAACTACTTCGGTGTACATATATCAAATGTACTAATTTCTTTTGTTACCACTTCTGCTTATCGTCCACACGTGCCGCGACATAAATACATAAGTGTCTACTTAACTTTGGAGCGCGAAATTCCACGGCATTCGACCCTGGTGGTAACTAAAGTGGTCTCAATTACTAATGTAAGTGCAATAACTAGATAGAGGTGTAAAGCTGTTTGTTTGTTTGTATGTGTGAAGCTAGCGTTGACAGCACATTTTGTTTACATGTCACTCACTATCGGTTTTCATTTCACAATAATGGAATTTCAAACGAATATTTTTGTAATTTTTTTTTTGGTTCCTTCTTATGCGTCTGGCATTCATGTTCGAATTTGCGAACTGTTACTAAGCGCTAATAGATGCGTGTTTGATGTGTCAACATTAATTTGCTTTATGAGCTGATAAAATTTTCGTCTGAGAAAAATTCGGTATGACTTCGTTCTGAAACACATACATAGACAAATCTCTTAATAGCACAAGCATAGTACACCGTATATGTACACAGGTACATAACTGGTTTCAGGCGGCCTGAAAAGGCTTGTAGGGCAATTCATACAAACGCGTATAAGCCTCGTAACACGTAAACCTCTTAAACTTACTCAAGTTTGTATGGAAAACCGGTTTGTTACGGGTGGTTACGCATTTAGATGAATACCCTGAGTGTATTTTCGCATGTTTGTCTGGTCAGACGGTCTGGAAAGACTAGTGCATCGAGGATCAATGTGTATTAATTTGATAGCCCAAGGAGAAGGGGAGCTTTGTACCAATTAATGTTGGGCAGTATCGAACCTAAAAGTACTCAAAACTTGATTCTTAAAAGGATCGACAGTACCCGATTTTTTTTTAAGTCTCGATAATGTGTATTCCAAAGTACTCAGTACTAAATAGGTAAAGAACTAGAAAGTACTCAGAACTTAAAAGAACTCGAAAGAACTCAGAATTCCAAAATATTTTAATTTTTTATTTTAATCAACACTTTCGATTCAAAGCATTAAGTATTAAGTGTCTAATAGATGCTTACATGTACTGAGTTCTATTTACATTTACTGGTATTCTGTTCAAATTTCAATAATTTTCAGTGCGAGAATTGGGAAACATATCGTTTTGCTAGAAATCGTGCGACTTTTGCAGCGAAAAATGCAATAAGACAATATTATAAGCCCAGACTTAATGTGAATCTGCCGACCAAAATTCTCTGGAATAATCTGAAGTCCGTGGATAGGCGTAGGGAGTACAAGCAACTTAGAATGTGATTTAGATGTTAAAATCTTGAATGAAAACTTCCTTTAGTCGAGCAGTTTGCCACATAGCGGATAATTCAGACTGGACCAAAGCCTTTTATTTTGACTAAATGAAGCATTTATTTTATCTCTTGTAACAGATTACGATGTGTTAAGAAGTATCTATTCTATCTGTTTATTTAATTTCTGTCTGTTCATTTAATTTTTATTTTTTGTTTTTAATATAAAAATAAAGCAGATTTTTCAATTAATTAATGTTTTTTATTTGACACATTACTTGCTTTTCGATATATCATATNCAAAAAGTGCTAAATAGGTAAAGAACTAGAAAGTACTCAGAACTTAAAAGAACTCGAAAGAACTCAGAATTCCAAAATATTTTAATTTTTTATTTTAATCAACACTTTCGATTCAAAGCATTAAGTATTAAGTGTCTAATAGATGCTTACATGTACTGAGTTCTATTTACATTTACTGGTATTCTGTTCATTCTGTGTGTCCGTTCTATGGGGTTAATACGAAAACTCAATACGCTTGTAAAGCTCCTGTTAATCGTGCTTTACGAGAGTTTAATTCACTAAGTGATGCTATCACCTTGGATTTTTCGATGCAAAGTGATGCTTTTTTCTCGATGCTTAATTCTGCCTTATAAGTGGTTTGATTTATGCACAAAATTAGTTTGTAATCTATAAATTAGTTAAGTACATAGTCTGTAAGGATTGTATTCCAAAGACTTATAATTANAGAAATCGTGCGACTTTTGCAGCGAAAAATGCAATAAGACAATATTATAAGCCCAGACTTAATGTGAATCTGCCGACCAAAATTCTCTGGAATAATCTGAAGTCCGTGGATAGGCGTAGGGAGTACAAGCAACTTAGAATGTGATTTAGATGTTAAAATCTTGAATGAAAACTTCCTTTAGTCGAGCAGTTTGCCACATAGCGGATAATTCAGACTGGACCAAAGCCTTTTATTTTGACTAAATGAAGCATTTATTTTATCTCTTGTAACAGATTACGATGTGTTAAGAAGTATCTATTCTATCTGTTTATTTAATTTCTGTCTGTTCATTTAATTTTTATTTTTTGTTTTTAATATAAAAATAAAGCAGATTTTTCAATTAATTAATGTTTTTTATTTGACACATTACTTGCTTTTCGATATATCATATGCTTAATTTGTAAATCTGTTTAAATTTAAAACATAATGGGGCATATTTGTAGTCGAATCAAAGACGAAACTAAAAATAATTCAACTTTTTTGCAAAATTTTTCTTAAAAAATGTCAGAGTGCTGAAATTATTTTTACTTTCAACTTTGTTTTGATTATGCACATATCCCATTATGCTTTACATTGAAACGTAAATTTTTGTATCTATTTCCTATCTTTTACTATCTAACGTATCTCTATATAAATGACTTCCTGTTTCATGCTCTTTCCTAGTGATTGCAACAAATACACACATTGTTACTGTTACTACATTTTATTGCTTTTAACTTAGTTCTAAGTATTGCAAATTCATTGAATTAGCAGGGGGAAAGACTACAAAAAAATTGGCCACTAATGGGTTAAAATATGGTCATCAATGCGTTAAGTCAAAGTCGTAAATGGGTTAAATTATTCATAATTTGCATAGTAATAAAAGCAAATTAACTTAACATAAAACATTACAAAAAAGCTGAGTCACCAATGGGTTAATGCATGATCAATAATGGGTTAAGATGTGCGAAAATTTACTCTTAAAAAGTAGTTGAAGCGAGTCTAATGGAAAGAAAATGATTTCAGAATTTTGAGCACCCGTTTATATTGGGCGGCCCCAAAGTGCGTCGGCAATAAAATAACCAAAAATTAACTCGAATTCTTGCTTTGCTTGATTCGCTTTGACAACTGTCAAAAGTTATTTGGAATATAGTTTTATTTGGAAGCGTTTTGTAAGCTTTTGACAAAAAGGTATGTTCCCGTTCTAAATGAATTCAAAAAAACTGCTGCACACTTTTATGAACAAAAATTTGCTTACGTAATTAAAAAAATAAATAATATAAGTAATTCAAAGTTTTATAAAAATTATTCTATGCTTCCATTTTTATATCTAACATATAGCTGGCTGAAAAGTTGCTAAGTCCGTTTTTACAAATTTTACAGAAACCTTGAATACAAGATTTTGCGTATTTAAAGCAAAGCAAAACTCCATACGAATCAGAACGATTCGATTTTTATTAAAAGATTTCGTATTATTTTGGCCTTATCGGATTTCCGGGCCCTCTTTTGGACTTAGAAAATTTCCCTTTCATTGAATATAAACGAGAAAATATAAAAGTAGTACCTTAATCCGTAATTTCTCTTGCTTCCTATATCAAAATATGAGGTTTCACAAAATGTGGACTTAGCAGTTTTTCACACAAAGCTAGCAATATTTATGATGTCAAACTACTGGTCAGTCGTCTCTTGAAAAAATGGATTTTTTTCTTTATAAATGTTCTATGCAAAAATCAATTCCCATTAATTTAAAAACAAATCTAAAAAGATTGTTTTGTATTATTTTTTTTTAATTTTCTGGAATTTTGTGGGTGTATCTTATTGCTCTACCAGAAATGAAATAAAGCAAATTTGTGTTATTTCATGTATGTATAGTGTTACCAGGTGTGTTTTTACGTTCTTCCAAGTTCTCTCTGCGAACCAGAGAATTGATAGCTGGTAAACCGTGTATGGGTTGGCGTCGTCCCATATATGGCTTGTTAACGTGTCATCAATAAAATGGGCCAAACAAGCGCAACGTTTACACTGACGAACACTGCCTTTGATAATACATGATCATCGTAAATAATATTGTATATGTATGTATAAAAGGGAGCAGCATAAATCGATTTCATATGAAATTTTGATTTATATTGAAAATCTTCCAAAATACTTTGGTGTAAATTGTACATGTCTGATAAGCAGAATCTAATCAAAGAAAGTGGTGCACGCATGAGCAGGCACCTTATCGGATGGTCCCAACCATGTAGCCATTCACACCTAATTTTAAAAAATTTCCAAAAAATAAGGCGTATATGTACATATGTACATATGTAGTTGGCAATTTTTAGTTTATAGCGCAAATTAAAGTAGATACCTATTTACTAAAGTATTATCAAATATTTAAGTTATTGAGCGTTGTAAAAAAAATGCCTAGAGTTATGCTGCAGATGTTCTACATCCATTCACAAATCAATCTTATTTTCTGATAATAAGTAGGTACCATAAAAATGTATAGATATTTCACATTCTTATGGCTTGATAGTAGTAGACTTATTAAACGAATTGTAATAAAAAATTATAACCTCAACTGCAAAAGGGAAACAGTTCTGAATAAAAATTTAAATCAAACACTATAAAAATCATTATCACATTTGTTCCAATTAATTAGTTTTTTTTTAATTCCCTCAACTAATTGTGTTTGAACCAAATTGAGCCTGAGAGCGGTTTATTTATATACACATTAATGCATTTAATGCCTCATGAAATTTTTCAGAGCGTGAAGAACAATTATGTCATGTTATTTTATATTTTTAACCGCTTTCAAATAAGGGCGTAGAGTTATCAATTCAGCGGATTTTTTGTTTGTTTTGAATATATGTACACTGAGCAAAGAGTTTAGTTACGTCAACTAAATCATTTGGTCATAGTTACCTACTTTATTTGGTTATACCAATTTCTATGCAGAATTCCTCGGTGATTCCGAAAATCGAGTTATTTATTTTTTCCTTTGGATACGTTTTCGAGATATTTGCAATTTACCGTTGTTCAGCTTAAAACAAAAAGTGGTTCCCCTTAATCACGTATCTCTTACGAACCAATTTAACAATCATAAAATGAGATACGTCAAATCAAAGCTAATAAAATTCTCCATAAACTATA